CATAATGACATCAATTAATAACTTTAATCATTTGAAAAGTGTCAGTATTTGCAGACTGCAGATAACTTGAAGCAGAAAGAGGACCCAAATGCAAAGGACGCAGGAGGACAGGAACTAGTTAACATAAGCAAGCAGTTTATTAAGGCTGATACAAAACAAGAAAAACCAAAATGCAACAGAAAACCTATATTGGAAAATACAAAAAAAAACACCAACAAAAAAACATGAAACCTGACAGACAGAGTGAGACAATATATACACAAGCAGGTGATTTGGGCAATAGAGACAGCTGGCAAACACAGGATCAAATTGGATATAGCGTAATACACAAGAAACAAGGGACTATCCAAATGAAACTGGAAACGCGACAGACACGGAAATCAAAACTCAATCAAATCAAAACTCAAATCAAATCAACACTTTAAACACAAAACCATGGGTGCAAGACCCAGACCATGACAAAAAAAATGATAAATTTTACGTATTCAAGTTTTAATAACCATCAATATTATTTGAACCTAAAATGTAACAAATATACATAACTGTCATAGTACCTGGATGTCTCCAGTGTCCCTTGGCCTTTCCTCCTTGCTTCTTCTTCCTGTCTCTCCTTCTCTTTACCCTTTCTATTGTACCTGTTCCTGTTGCATTCAGGAGTGAGAGTCATAGGAAGTAACCTTAAGAAGAGTGCTGAAGAATCCTGTTGCAGACTGCAAATTTGTACATGTCCACACCAATTAATGTCATGAATTCTTATAAGTGTGCCCCCCAAAAAAAACAACCAACTCAAATGAATAATACAGCCGGAATAACTTTATTTACAGTGCAATTTGAAGCCAAAGCAGACAAAATATAGGCTATAATATAGGCTTCAGTTTGTCAACTTAACAAACAGAGATATTGTGTGAATATATTGCAGTAGTCCAGTCTAGATTTAATAAATTGAACTAGTTTTTCATCATCACCATGAGACAGCATCCTTCTCAAGCTTGTGCTTCTCAAGCTTCTCGTGGTCCTTCTTCCTATCACTCAGTATAGCCACTTCTATCACTATCGCCGTCTTCCTCTGCTTCTCCACCACTACTATGTCTGGTTGACTAGCCATTGCCAGTTTGTCTGTCTGTATCTGGAAGTCCTAGGTCTAAAACAACAAGCAAAGAGATGAGTCCACTGCCAGAGGCCATAATTAATCTATCATTATAATAAGCCATTATTTGTGACCTACACTAAAGAATTTTCTGTACTGTCTGTAAAGTGTCAAAGGGTGGAAGAAGTTTGTTGAGAAGCAACAACAGGATCCTGGTGTTACCCTCATAAAAACTGAAAATACCTGAGTAAAAGTTTTGTTTGGCCTAATTGATGGGATCTTTATACTGTAGAACAGCGGTCCCCAACCCCCGGGCGTCGGACCGGTACCGGTCCATGAGTTGTTTGGTACCGGGCCGCGAGAGTTGAGGCTCAGGTGTGAAATGTATAGTTTTCAGGGTTTTTATCGGTTTTCAGCGTTATTTTGTTATCGTTTTTATCGTTTACTCGGTTTTCCTTGGTCTTTTCACGTGTGTTATGAATAAATTTTCTTTTTTTCGGTACTGGTACTAGTTTTATTTTGTTGTATTTATCCGCGATACCTTAAAGGCCGGTCCATGAAAATAGTGTCGGGCATAAACCGGTCCGTGGCGCAAAAAGGGTTGGGGACCTCTGCTGTAGAACCTGACATTTATAGATTTCTGCATTTATATTTACACTCTAGTTTCCAAGCTTTTGCCCTCAATGCTGGGAGATCAGAGGTATACCATGGAGCAGAACGAGCGAAGGAAACAGTGGGTTTATACAGGAGCCAGAGAATCTGGGAAATAGAGTAGATAATTATTATAATATAATACTAAACCATCAGGAGGAGAATAGAAGTCTGGAATCTGACTATTATCCAATCTGGTAGTGAGAATGCCCATATCAATGTTTTTGATGTTGCGGAACAAGATGAGATGGGTTGGCTTGGTTGAAGAGCAGCAGAGAGTGAGGTTAAATGAAAGGAGGAATGAGAGAGTTTTGGTTCTCCTTGTTGTTGCGGAACTGTTACGTTCATCGAGGAATGGGACCGTGGCGAAGTCAGTGCTGGCCAATGCTGCCCTGCTGGCCCACCCGTTTCCGTCAGCGGAGTACGCATTGACCACTGACGCGTGTTCAATGACAATGTCGGGTTCATGTCTGGTGGTGAATAAAGTCGGAGAAAAAAGCTAGAGCTCCTGTGTCGTCTGTACCTTCACCCCACACGCTTAAGATTTCCCCTACAATTGAGTGTTATTAATAATAACACTTTCAGATCCCACTTGTCACTGACTATTTTGCCTTGGGTCCTTTTCAAAGAAATCGTTCCACTATGAGGGGAAAACCTCCGCTCAGAGCAGCTGCACACCCAGGGGACCTGGGCACTTAGGCCGAAAAGCTTGTTCTCTTAGTGATGCTGGCTTCTTTTCAGTCTTTAGCCTGTTGTGATCACACTATGCAGATTATGACTGTTTAATTATTTACAAATGTACTAAAAAAATATTTATCACTTTATTTATTTCAGACAGAATTAGTCCATACCATTAAAAACTATTTGTAAATCAAATAATTCAAAGCCAGAAAAGGCCTGAGATATTTATTTTA